TGGGAGAGGGAGAAGCAGGCTTCCTGCGGAGTAGAGAGCCCGATGTGGGGCTCGATCCCAGGACCCTGAGATCATGATCTGAGCCGAAGGCAGACGCTTAACGACTGAGCCACCCAGGTGCCCCAAGAGAGTCTTTTTTTAAAACTTTATTTAAAATCAATTTAGTTAACATATAATAGATTCATAGTTTCAGGGGTAGAATTTAGTGATTCATCAGTTGCATATAACTCCCAGTGCTCTTTACATCAAATGCCCTCCTTAATGCCCATCAGCCAGTTACCCCATCCCCCAACCTCCTCCCCTCTAGCAACCCTGTTTGTTTCCTATAGTTAAGAGTCCTTTATAGTTTGTTTCCCTCTCCGTTTTTATTTTATTTTTCCTTCCCTTCCCCTATGTTCATCTGTTTTGTTTCTTAAATTCCACATATGAGTGAAATCGTGTCTTTTTCTGACTTACTTCGCTTAGCATGATGCCCTCTAGTTCCATCCACATCGTTGCAAATGGCAAGATTCCATTCTTTTTGTTGGCTGAGTAATATTCCGTGTGTGTGTGTGTGTGTGTGTGTGTGTGTGTGTGTGTGTGTACGTGTGCGTATACACACACCACATCTTCTTTATCCATCTGTCGATGGACATCAGGGCTCTTTCCATAGTTTGGCTATTGTGGACATTGCTGCTATAAACACTGGGGTGCAGGTGCCCCTTCGAATCACTATTTTTTGTATCCTTTGGATAAATACCTAGAAGTACAATTGCTGGATCATAGGGTAGTTCAGTTTTCAACTTTTTGAGGAACCTCCATACTGCTTTCCAGAGTGGCTGCACCAGCTTGCATTCCTACCAACAGTGTAAGAGGGCTCCCCTTTGGGAGAGAGAGAGTCTTAAACAGACTCTGTGCTGAGTGCAGAGCCCTACTCAGGGCTGGATCTCATGATCCTGAGGTCACCATCCCAACCGACTGTGTACCCAGGCACCCCTATCACAGTATTTTTTAACAATGGGGGAAAACTGGAAATCACTTAAATGTCCAAGAGTAAGGAAGCTTCCTTTAGTGGAAAATTATGTAGCCATGAAGTTACAATTTTGAAGAGTATTTTATTTTTTTAATTTTTTTTTTTTTAAGATTTTATTTGTTTGACAGATTGAGAGAGAGCACAAGCAGGGGGAGTAGCAGAGGAAGAGGGTGAGCAGGGAACCCAAAGTAGGGCTCAATCCCAGGACCCTGGAATCATGACCTGAGCTGAAAGCAGATGCTTAACCAACTGAACCACCCAGGTGCCCCTTGAAGAGTATTTTAAAGACATGACACAATACTCAAGAAATGTTACAAGAAAAAAATTAGTATACACTGCTGTATTTGCAGTCTTGTGATGTGGAATGCACACAGACATATGACCTGAAACGTAGCAAAATAAGTTTTCTGGCTGGTGGGATGGGAGTGATAAAATATTTTTTTCCAATTTTATACAGGATGACTTTTATAATAAGAATGCATATTACTTAAAATGTAAATATTGTCTTACTGGTTAGTTCCACGTATGGATTCTGTAGCACAATGGTTAAGAGCGCAGGCCATGAGTCATGCAGGTCTGGCTTTGAGTTGCAGTTCTGCCCAAAGAGAAGTCAACTTTATTTGCCTCCCACTGAATGTTATCATGAACAACAAAGGCATTCAAGATACAATAGTCAAAACTCAAATGAATTTAGAGACTATGAATTATTGTCTGTAATTTCCCCATGAGTTACAGATTGATTATAAATTTCCCTAAAATAAAATTTAAATGGTAATAATTAAAATGTAATTTTAATTTTCTACTAAGGGAAATCGTGTTTTCATCCTTGGTAATTTTTTCCAGCTATTGAGCTACCACTAGCGTCACATTTATCTCCATGTATAGAACAGACTGTTGCACCCTGGGTTTTGCAAGAGAATTAAGTCCTGAAGTCCTCACACATCCACTGAGTGTAATGAATTAGCCTCCTGCCTGGTCGGCTAGACTAGTATCCGTTATGTGCCGTCCTTGGGGAAAATTGCGAGAAGTCACCCAGAGCATTCTGTTCTGTTCTGAGGAACCCTCATTGGGATGCCTGGCACAGACTAGGCCCGCAAGAAATAGCCGTGGCTCTTAGTCCCATAAAAGAGCACCAGCTTTCTGGATTTCTTTGCTTGGTGTAAGCGTTTTTGGGAAAGGGTATTTTCCACGGTGTGGTCCAGTAAGTGGACCTCTTCCTGGCTGTTTCTCAGGCCCTGTCTTTGAATCGGACTGGCTGGGACCGTGGAGGACTTCTCTGATTTGCCCTCTTGCAGTGTACCAGCCTCTTTCCTCCACTGCAGGGCGCCCAAGTACTGCCTCCCATCCGAGGAGAGGCTCAGCTTGTCAGTTCTCGCCCCATAACTGTCCTTGTAGCCGAGACCTTATTCAGGCCTCGGATTTAATGCTTTTCCACAAATTGCTTTACAGTAATGTATTCAGTTCTGGCTGTTCATAACTGCCCTTTGGGGATGTTGATCGTTTAAAATAGACTGCTGAAGATACTGTCTTAATATGTTCTCTGATTAATATTTTCTCATGAGTGCTTCTTGTTTTCTTTTAGCTACTGATCTACTCCTTGCCTGGAATCCCATTTGTTTGGGATTGGTAGAAGGTGTTATTGGGAAAATTCAACTTCATTCAGGTATGTTTCTATAAAGTCCTTCAATTTGTCAAATTTAATGCGGCATTCTATGGCATTTTCTTCTTTGAGGATGAATGTGGATTCTGTTATGGCTTTGATTCCTTTGCCCTAATTTTAGGTCTACCCAAAGTAGGTATTAAGTATCACATACCTACTATGTGTCAGGAATTATTCTAGTTGGTAGAACACAATAGTGAGAAAAAACTGACCTGCTCTCACCCTTGTGGAGCTTACAGTTTAGGAAGACAGATATCAGTAAGTAATCACTGAAATAATTGTATGATTATTTGATAATTATGGTATGTGCTCTAGCAGGTAGAGACACCAACTGCACTGATTTCGAGGGAGAAGGTGGTAGGAAGAAGGCTGGTGAGGTAGGCAGATGGCAGACCATGACTGGCCAACTTTGGGTCGGATGTCCATTCTGGATACAATCAACTCTGGCCAGGGAAGAGTAAGGTTCTCTTAGCATGCAGTGTGGCCCTTTCCAGGTGCCCTCACCAGGGCAGGCAAATTGATGAAAGGTCTAGGTTATTCACCAGGCCCTTGCTTAGAAGACAGACCCTTGTGTCTGGGGTTCAGAAGGAATTTTGATGATGAGAAAAGAGATGTTATATAGGCGGGTTCCAAAAAGTCCTGAAAAGTACTAACTGAAATATTTTAAGCACTGTATTTAAATATCTGTTTCTCCTTTGACATCAGTTTTAATGAGTTATGAACTATAGGTAGCTTTACCATTATTACCGTGTAATTGGGAGTCTGGCTACCTCTGTAGTATGCCCTTTCTTACTCTTCTAAAATAAAATTGTTGTGGGGTGCCAGGCTGGCTCAGTGGGTAGAGCATGTGACTCTTGATCTCAGGGTTGTGGGTTCAAGCCTGACGTGGGGTGTAGAGATTACTTAGAAATAAAAAAATTTTTTTAAAGATTTTATTTATTTAGGGGCGCCTGGTGGCTCAGTTGTTGGGTGTCTGCCTTCGGCTCAGGTCATGATCCCGGGGTCCTGGGATTG